AAAATACCAGTAAACGAAAAAAAATTAAAATGGAAAACACAAAATTAAATGGAAAAAAAATCATAAAACCAAAAAAAACCCATAACATGTACAATGTGTTACCAACCGGTACTAAAGGGCTCCCGGCCCCCGGAGCTGGCTCGTGCCACGTGGTTTCCCTTTAGCACCGGTTCGTGCTGAACCGGTACTAAAGGGGGGGGGGGCTTTAGTGCCGAAATAATAGTGCCGGTTCCTAAACCGGCACTAAAGGGCCTTATGAACCGGTGCTATTGCCTGGTTTTCTACTAGTGGACGAACCGTGTGCTTATTAACATCTTTTGAGATTATAACATTTCAGTTTGGATAGGACCTTAGGAATATTTGGATGTGGTCGGTCACTTAAGCTAAACCTAGTTTTGAATCCATATCCTTGTACCCAAACAAACTCTTCTGGTTTCAACAGGCAACAGGGCCGTTCCTGAGAGTTCAGGGGCCCGGGGCGAAACTATAACCTAGGGCCCCTTATATATTACCTTGAAAATTTTCTTCTAGTTTCCCGCAATGTCTGGCGATGGTATCAATATCAATCTTATTCAACAGTTTCTTTTCAATGTGTAAAGTTGCCAAACCTAACCTCTCTTGGGACATCTATAAACCTCATATAGTTTTTCACTAATATATAGCCATTTAAAAGATGCATGTGCTTTTTATGATAGGAAGAAAAACAATACCTCCGCCATTATCACCACATCCAGTGCTTACTTATACATGTGCTTGCTGATAAGAATGTTTTCTCTTTGATAAAGCATTAGAACCATCTTCTAATCCCTGTAGATTAACACATATAACAAGTTAAATGGTATAGCTAGCTACATGAGAAACCCGTAGAAAAAATATTCAAAATTTCACATTTGCAGATCTAAAAACAATGTTTTGCATCCACCTTGATCCCCGAGATCTACTTCATCTGTCCCAAATTGTAAGACATCTTAGGTAGACTAAAAAGCCTGAAAAACGTCTTATGATTCGGGGTGGGGTAATAAGTTGAAATCTTCTCGACCACCTGAGTGTCTTTGAGATAATCCTAATTTTCCAATGTCAAGCGGAAGTCTGCTTGCGGCGACCAAAATTTTCCCGCTGAAGGGAAGACAGAAATCTCAAAATCGATACGAACGCGCATGATTCGATAAAAGAAAAAGGAGCGAATCAATACTTACCAGAGGCCGCCGACGAGCGTACTGGTGTACTCCACCGTCGCCGCCGCCACAGCAACGGCGGCCATGACCTTACCGTGTTTGGGGGTGTTGACGGCGCAAAAAACAAGACATGGAGTCGTGGGCGTTGGGCGCTAAAATCTGTAGGGCTTTGGCAAGGTCATGCGCTGGGCGAGGCCCCATATCTCAACGAGGGTAATACGGAAGTACTGTACATGGTACTGCTTACGGGCCTGCAATCGCTAGAGAGTCACGAGGGTAATACGGAATATATTTGATCGTGGACTACCTGCGTCCCTGCATGGCCCATAGTTATACGCGTAGGGGGCCCCTGAAATCTGGGGGCCCGGGGCGGCTGCCCCCCTGCCCCTCCCCAAGGCCCGGCTCTGACAGGCAAATGTCGAAAGAACGGAATGCATTCAGGCGCGTCATATGTCAATTCTGTAAACGAGAATCTCACTGCAGCAACAACAAAATATATGTCCAACAGTCACACACAAGCATTCTGTTTATTTCATGCTCCCAAAGCAAGGAGATACAACGTCTGCAGAAGTATGTACTGCTTGCTTCATACAGAGCATCGATGGCTGATCAATGTACAGGCGCAGAATACCAAGAGAGATTTCAGGTTACATAGACACTCTGCAGGAAAAAAGAAAGGCAGGTTGGGTCAGGAGCTTGAAGAAAGATTATCTGAAAGAATTATAAATCACCAGAGAAGAAGGAAGTTCTAATTGTTCGCTTTAATGTCAGGTAGCAGGGCCGACACACAGTGGATGGGCATACAATAGCAACTTGGAGCAGCAACAACACCTTGTGTTCCGACATGGTTCGTGATTGTACATAAATGATTGTACAGAAAATATCATACACAATGGAGTCCCAATCTTATTAGATTTAAACCGCTTTATCTATTTAGCAATGTAAGCCACATTTCAATAGAGAAAAGAAAAAAAAGAATAATAGCCCATTTTTGTGAAGGTTTGGTCCCAGATCAGATGTGTCATCATTAATAACAAGCATAAAGCCACAGCATAAACAGACTGGTTCATACAGAAATTGGAAAGACCAACGGCGCATGCAATCTAGATAAATATTCTGCTATCTTAGTTTTCATCATTATTATTCATGAACGTCGTTTCAATAAAAACCCAGAGTAGAAGCAATGGTCAACTAGACATGGAAAAGTTCTAATAAGAAGCCCTGGAACAGCCCAAAACATGGGTTTGCCTGAGCAGAACAAACTACTGCAAGAGGACAGCATAGTGGACTATAGCCCTAAAATTGACAGATAAATCTTCATGCACTCGTATTCAGATTTCACAAGGCTGTACAGTGTTAGTTTAGCACAGCTAATAGCTCGGATACTCACGCCTTGCTCACAGATGGTGCCGCTTCATCTCTAACTGGAATTATACAAACAAAACAAAATGGTGAGGACAATTCGAGTGAGCCCTCTGGCTGCATCTTGTGATGACCTCAATCAGATCGAATCTACTCTGGACTACTATAAGTACTGCTCAAACTAAGCAGATTCTTACGGCATCTATCATCCAAAGCATGGGAATATTGGTACGACTTATAATTTGGCTTCAGCCCAATAGGGCAATCTGCCAAACCAGCAGTTTTGTCACCAAATTCCTTTGGTGGCTGAGCATCTCATCACTTTGAAGTTGTGTGTGTCTTTTTATTTGTTGTTTGCTTGTACTTGTTCATGGTTTTTTGCAATATTATTCTCTATGTTTCCTAGTATATGGTCAAATCATTTGGAGTTTTATCATTTTAAAGTTGGGTGTGATGTTTTTCTGTCTAAAAATAAGCGATGAACATTCTTAGCTGGTCACCGATGTAGGGCATTACTATAGGTGTCACAATTTTGATAATTTCTCTTTTGATCAAACAATATTTTTAATCTGAACTTGAAGCTGTATTTTCTTTCAGACTATGTATGGCCTCCTCTACCGGAGTAGTCTATCTTTTGTAGTGGAGTGCATGGCATTGTTGAGAGGACTTGTTCAGATAAATGAAGTCAAGTGTACGATGTGATTGTTTAGTGAGAAACTATAGCACAAGCTGTGAGGTGTTAGACATCCTTCATTTTGGGAAGGAGGGAGTACCTTTTACATCTTTAAAGTAACCACGGTGCATCTTAACTTCTTGTAGCATTTTGTATTGTCCAACTCACTTTATGGTACCTATCAACCTATCTATCCATCAAACCTACTTCTCATGATAGACTGTACTAGGACAACGAAGATTAACAAATAGCTACTATTGATAATTTTTGTCCAACAAGTAAAGACATTCCCAGTTCAAAAGAAGTAAAGACATACCTACTTGTCTGATGTATAACACATTTTTTTTCTCTCTACATATGCCTAGGATGACATGCAACTAGTGGCACATGTAGTGAAGCTTGCAAACAATGCATCATATTATTTTCTTGTCTTGTGTTCGGTTTCGCATCCCCCTCACCGAAGTATCAGAGCTTTGAGCAAAAAAAAACAACAACTTGGGAATATCACAATACAATACCTTCGGAATGAGTGACATTGGGGGGAAAAAATCTACCAACAAGCCTCCCTTCAGCTTAAAACGGATAAGTGCCTCTCTTCAACAAGCCCCTCTTAAGCTTAAAATGGATAAGTGCCTCGCTTCAGCTTAGGGGTTGTTTGGTTGGGATTCCTGCCAGCTTCCGGCTTCCGGCTTCGAAGCCGAGAGCTGCTATTTAGGGGCTTCCGGCTGCAGCTGTGGAACAGCCTCTAAAACTGATGAGTTTGAAGCATTACCTCAATCTTCCCAATTGTGTTGACCTTCCTTTTCTGGATTCAACATTGATGAGGCCCACATGTACGCTCCCGACACCATTGGTGATTTTGTTGGTGTGGGCTCGACTACGCGCCGACAACAGACAAGGTCAAGCTTGATCTGCTGACTTCTTCCTTGGTATGCGTCTCACCTAGACCAATTGGTCGAAGGAGGGTTATGGGTAGGAGTTGGTCGAAGGAGGGCAGAGGGTGTGAGTTGGTCGAAGAAAGGCTGCAGGTGTGAGTTGGTCAGTCCTCTAAGGCAGCATCCTGCTTGAGCCCAAGACCACTGATGAGAATAACCACCACAGCGGTAGCATCTCATGTCACTAGATGAACCGCGTGCTTATTCACTTTTATTTATCTCTATATATACTACTTAAAAGTTAAAACACATGTAAGGTTCTTTTATCATCAGTTTCCACCTCCCACCATGTCCCTCCACCAGGTTTTTCATCCATCCAGTTTTTCTCCACCACCACCTTGATTCACGAACATCGTTTTGATAAACCCAAAGTAGAAGCAATGGTCAACTAGACATGGAAAAGTTCTAATAAGGAGCCCTGGAACAGCCCAAAACATGGATTTGCCTGCGCAGAACAAACTAGTGCAAGAGGACAGCATAGTGGACTATAGCCCTAAAATTGACAGATAAATCTCCACGCACTCTCGTATTCAGATTTCACAAGGCTGTACAGAGTGTTAGTTTAGCACATCTAATAGCTTGGGTACCCACATCTGAAGAGGCTTCATCTCTAACTGGAATTATACAAACAAAACAAAATGGTGAGGACAATTCGAGTGAGCCTCTAGCTGCATCTTGTGATGACCTCAATCAGATCGAAGCTACTCTGGAGTACTACAAGTACTGCTCAAACTAGGCAGATTCTTACTACAAGAGAACAGCGATTTTCATTATTCAGTAAGTTCAGCAAACACCTAGACAGAGACTGGGGATACATAGTTGCAGAGGGGGACTGACCTCCAATCTGTGTCCTGATCAGAGCCTGGAGGCGAAGTGCCTGCTCTTCTCCTCGTCGCTCTCCACGGCGATCCCGACGGCCCTGCACGCATCGGGGAACATGGACACCCTAATCGACGCGTACACGGCGCCGTCCCACTTCCTGGCGGCGAGCTGCTCGGCGAGCTTGAGGGCCTCGGCGGCGGTCTCGGGGGCGCCGGGGCAGACGACGTCGACGACGCCCATCTCCCTGGCCTCGGGCGCCTTGAGCTTCTTCCCGCGCAGCACCACGTCCCGCAGGGCCTGCGCCTGGGAGATCTTGGCGCGGAGCACGTGCACGAAGTAGGGCGGGAGGGGGAGGCCGATGTCGACCTCGCTCATGTAGAGCACGCCGCGGTCGGCGCGCATGAGGCGGTAGTCGTGGCAGAGCGCGAGGAGGAAGCCGCCCGCCGAGGCGTGGCCCGTGACGGCGGCGACGGTGGGCATGGGGAGGGCCAGCAGGTCGGCGGCGACGGGGCGGAGCGCGTCGACGAGCTCCCCGAGCCGCGCGCGCGAGGTGCCCGCCCACCCGATGTCGAGGCCGTTGGAGAAGAAGCGGCCCTCGGCGACCGTCACCAGGGCCGCCCCCGGGCCCTGCGGCTGGGCCTGGGCCGCGGCCAGGACCTCGGCCAGCGCGGAGCGGATGGCGGCGATGAGCGGGTGGCCCAGCCGGTGCTGGTCCTCGCCCGTGAGGGTGAGGACGAAGACCCGGCCGCGCCGCTCCAGGGTGCACATCGTCGCCGGCCGGCCGCGGGGTGTGGTGGACTTGGGGCGGGTGGGTTGGTGTCTGACCGGGACGCGGTGGGAGTTGCGTGCGGATTTAACACTCGCGCGTCGTCGGGCAGCGGAGGACCCGACGGGCGCTGCCGCGTTGTTTTTCTCTCGCTCGGCGGAGGAAATTCACCGCGGTTTATCTAAAAAGCTCTCAGAAGTGTCGCTGAATTTTAGCAGGTTGGATGGTGCGATGGGGAGAAGAGCAGGCACTGATGATGTGGAAGAAAGGATTATTCAATTTGCATATGCATCGCCGATGATGTCCGGGCACTGGAGCTGCCGGCACTAAATAGTTGCACAACCATAAACCAACCTCACCGTCGTTTGGATCCAGCTTCGGGTACCGGTCGATTTCGTCCTAGATCGTAGCGTCGGGTACCGGTCGATTTCGTCCTGTGTACAACGACATGATCGGCCAATTTCGCATCACCGCACGAGAAAAATGTGTTAAGAGTTAATTAACTTGTGTTAACTATGGGAGAATCTCCCCTTGTCTTATCGCAGGCAGTTGTCTGCTTGGCAACTGTCGCGTCGGTTTTTCTCCTTCCCCGAACGGGCACCTCTCGTGATCTGTCACGTCAGTTGCCATCTATATAGATACCGTGATCATCTAATGAAAGGGCAACCAGATTGATTACTATTCATTCATCTTTGTTTTCACATGCTGAGTTTCAACAATATGCAAGACTTGTGTCAAACGTGTCTTCCGCAAACGACCACTAAATGCTTGCCCTTGTCATTACCTGGACTCTCCAACACAGCTCTGACTTCAAAACAATCAAGCAACCACGAAAGAGCACCTCGGGCACGCCGAAAAAAACCGACTACCGAAGCCCACGCCGCGACCCAAGCTTCTCTCGATGCCATAATGTTTCCAAACACAAACCAGCGCCCCGCCTTAGCAAACCACGCAGCAAAGATGCCGCCCATCCACGGCAAATATGCCGCCATCCACCGGTCACCCAGTCGTAGGCCGGCTCCGAGACGATGCCCCCTAGGAGGAGAGATACGCGAAGACGCCTCCATCGCCCGATCCAACGGATCTGAGGTTTCCTTCTGGAGCCAAAGCCATGGGGAAGAGGAGCACACCTCCACGACAACGCTTCAAGAAAGATCCCCGCACCCGCGCGCGCCGTCGTCACCGGCTCCGAAAAAGACCGGAGCAAGGATTTCTCCCGGAGATGACCACCTGCAGCCACCGACCGCCGCCGAGTAACCACCACCTGCCGAGGACTACCTCACTCTCGCCATGGAATCCCACAATCCACCGCGTGACCAGACATGCACCACCCCCTGGCCGTAGCCGACGTCCACCACCATAGCACCACCGCGAGTCCGCGACCACCTCCACCGCAGCCACCAAAAGCCGCATCACAAAGTGCAGCAACTAGATCGATGGACGAGCGTCCTCACATGTGTCGGTTGCTTGCGCGTGTGGTCATCTGTTGGCATGTACCGCCATGGTTTTTGTAGCTATTTGCGAGTTGGATTCAATGATGGAGCTCTATGATTAAGTCGGACCATCCGTTCAAGGCAACCGGTAATGACAATGGCGCTTGCAACTCCTCAACGGGTGTTGTCTGTGTGCCATGTCAGTAGCCAGGTTGGTTGATGATGCCCATGTCATATGGGCCGGGATGTACCGGTTTTAGCCCGGTTATTCATCAATTAACCAGGCAATACTCTTCGCCTTAATCAATGAAAATGGCAAGTCTTTTGCCTCATTATTTAAAAAATAAAATCACATCACCAACCAATGCAGATCAAATGGCTTCGACAACGTAATGCATTAGGCCTTGTACAATAGGAGATGCTTAGGGGAGGTGCTTAGAGAAATAAACCGGATGTTTCTTAAGCACCTGTGCTTATTTATACAGGATAGACGCTTAACTAAGCGTCTCTTCTGTAGAAATAGGCACCAGTGCTTTAGAAAAACCCGGTTTATTTTTCTAAGCATCTCTCTAAGCACCTTCCATTGTACAAGGCCTTAGCCTGCACAAATCATCAACACAACAGAAAAGGAAAAAACGAAACATTCCTGACCATTGTAAACTTGGTACTCGGCGAAGCACAAAGCTTTCTGACACAACACAGCCACGACAAAAACACATATAGTTCAAGTCACAACGGTTCACATAGCGCGGGCAAGACCACTGGAGATCACATCGTTTGTTTGTTTACAGCAGGTGAAATAGAGCGAGCGGGCAAACAACAGGCCAAATGAATTGGGATTCGCTGATTCTCCATTCCAGGTACAAAATGGAACTAGTCTACTATTGTACTGTTAGCCTCTCATACGTAATATAGCTTTTTGCCAAGATAATCCACTACAGAACCACCGAGTCTCTTCAAGCCAATATCATCAACTCAATTTCGATAACACTTCTGGCCCATGCAATGCAATGTGTGCTTTTTCTCGCATGGACAAAGCATGCTCAGGCAGGCAGCTCAAGCTTCACGTTGTTCTTCCAACTGCAATGGCCAGCACAAAACTGGTCAGAAGCCGAGGAGCGTGTGCATGAGAAATGTGTGTCGTGAAAGAACACTATGCAGTTTACCTTAAGAAATAGTAGTAGAAGAAATCTGCGTATAGACCAGTTTGGACCAAACCAGCAATCCAAGCTGAAGGAAAAAGAGAATTAGGTAATGGTAATTATGATAAAATGTGAAGCATGAAACATGAGTGCAAAAAAAGATTTGGACTCACGGATCCATCTGCTTTGGTGACCCTCTGTGAAATAACGGTAGATCCAGTTTAGAATATAGAATGCACGGTAGGCCCTGCAAAACAAGTATTGTTTTAGTAGAAACAGATGAAAACGACGAAAACAACTGGAGATGCAGGGACACAAGTTTCAAGAAGATTGATTATTTCAAGATCAAAACTCATTTCTGCACAAATTTACAGGTCTAATTCAAGTCTAACTACAATATACTATGTACTCACTACATTCCAAAATATAAGGTGTACTAGTTTTTTCCAAAAATCAAACTTTTCTATATTTGACCAGCTTTATATTAAAGTATATACATAGCTACAATAACAGATAAATAAAATGTGAAAATATATTTCATGATGAATCTTAATGATAATGATTTGGTAATTGGTATTGTAGATATTGATATTTTTCTCTATACACTTGGTCATATAGAAGTTTGACTTTTCAGAAAATTAATAAACCTTATATTTTGGAGTGGAGGGAGTATATGCTAAGCGTAACGTAACCAACATGGCTACAACTAATTAAACTTGGAAGTTTCAGTTCAAGATTGATCTAGGTCTAACCAAATGCACCCCAAAAAACTAAGCATGGATGCACCAATTCAGGTGTGCTCTATTTAACTCCAATGCAATCAATAGTTCAAAATAATTGGTGTTCAACTTGAACAATCTAAATAAATTATCCTGTAAACATTCAGGGTTATATTTCTAGAACAATGAAATAATTGATTGCACATGATCTGCCTATCAATTCAAACAGCTAAACAGGGTTATATTTCTAGAACAATTCAATACTTGATTGCACATAATCTGACTATCAATTCAAACAGCTAAAACAACAGCTATTAAATTTTCCCTGTGAAGTGTGAACAATCCAACACTTGATGGTTTTAGACCTTATATACATAGTATCTTATGAACATACAGGGTGGAACAGAACTTATATGAATCATGAGATGAAAACTGGTTTCATTAGTAAAAGATAGGCTTATTTGGCGTGAACTCATACCCGAGAAACAGAACATATTGTCCAGTCAAGTTATCAACATTTCTGCTTCTCTGGAGTAGAACTAACTGAGGTAGAATCGCCACTGCCTCCAGGTAAATCGAAAATGCCCAGCATATCTGTACAGTGAGAATATTTTATGAGAAGTTCAGTCACCATAATAATGATTGCTGTAATTGGTCACATTTCACTAATGTACTATGGGTCACTAAGTACCGAAAATCACAGCAAAAACAGGAACAACATGGGCATGTTCCCCAAAGAAGATTGTCACTTGCTAAATAAGATAAGCTGTAGCACACAAGAAAACATACAGACAAATGAGTTAAACTGGATTTACCCAAATAAGAATAATTGCTGACTACATGCACACTGTGGAGGGCAGTGCAAAGAATCGCTAAAGCTTAGAAGCTTCAAGCGCAGCATATACACATGTATACTCTTCACCTTTTATTCAACATGTAAGTTCTCTAGGATTATGGCACCTTCAGGCTTCAGCTTAATACTGGAGCTTTCTAGTGTACCACAGACTGTTGCGTAAATAGATTGAAATGCTGATATGATTATTCTGGAATTTGTCATGTACTCCCTCCGTAAACTAATATAAGAGCATTTAGAACACTAAAGTAGTGATCTAAACGCTCTTATATTAGTTTACAGAGGGAGTATCTAAGTCAAGTATGGTCATCACTGCATAAAAAACAATGTCCCCCGTATTTTGCGAAAGATCAAACTGCAAAATGGGTTTGGCAATGTGGCAACACCGGCCATACTCAGCTGAATCTGTTAAATGACAGTGTCACACAGGACTGGCAGCCAATTTCCCACACACCAATTGTGACCCTAAACAATCTACTAGCTACTACACCAGAACAAATATATATTTCTTTATAGCACACAGATTCAGCAAAAGTAACCATTTCATCTCAGATCTCGCAATAGCATCAATTCAAAAGGACAACGAACAAACAATGCGAGGCAGAGAGATCAGGCCACTTGACCTCGCGGAGGGTGAAGCGCTCGTTGAAGATGAGGGCAAGCGCGAAGGCGGCGGCGACGAGGAAGACGTGGCGGAAGGTGTCCTGGTCCCGGTCGTAGGTGCGGCGCACCTGCGGGTGGCGGCGCATGTACCAGACGATGGCGGCGGAGGTGGTGATGAAGACGATCTTCATGACGGAGTTGTAGAGCGAGATGTAGTCGGTGAAGAGGTCGAGGTAGCGCGCCACGAACACCGCCAGGTACAGCTCCTGCGTCTTCCTCGACACCCCTGCGGCGCGGCGCGGCCAGATCCATGAGCGTGAGCGACGGGCGAGGGGGAGAAAAGGGGGGCGGGGGCGGCCGGAACCCTAGAGGGCGACGGGATATTTGGTACCTGAGCATGACTTGTTGGCGTAGATCTTGAGGAGGAGGACGATGACCGAGAAGAGGTGGGTCATGTCCCCCAGGAACCGGAAGGCGTTCATGGCTGCTGCGGCGGCGGCGCCGACGGCGACGGCGGCTAGGTTTTGGGGGTTTATTCGGTGGGAACTCGCTCCAGATGCGGCGGGGGAATGGCGGAGAAGACGCGAGGCGAGGCGTGGCGATGGAAGGGACGGGAAGGGGGGAGAGGCGTGCTCTGTGCCCGGGAGGTGGGGCCCGGGTGGCAGTGGCCGTCAGTGCGGTGGGTCAGGCTCGAGGGGGTGTCGGGTGCTGGCGCTGCACACCTGGCGGCGGGCGAGTGGACGCGGGCCGAACGGCCACGTGGGCTGTTGGGGGAGGCCACGTGGCGGCACACCTCTCCTCTTTTTTTTCTTCTTCTCTTCTCTGATGACTTCCTGGACTCTCGTCAGTCTGCCGCTGATCCTCGGCGTCTCGCTTCCGCTGCAATCCACCGTGCTCTATCTCCTTTCCCAGTCCCAGGGGAGGAGCCTCCGCTTCCTCCCGACGCGAGATCCGGCTCCGCCTCGAGGACTCGCTCGCTCGTCCGATCGCCTGATCGGCGGCGGCCATGGGCTGCGCTGGATCCACGCCCAAAGTTGATGGTACCATCTTCTCTTCCTCGCTCGGCCTTATCTTCTCTCGCTTAGTCTTCAGTCGTGCTTCTGTTCTTGTTGCCTGGTGGTTGGACTAAGATCACTATATACCAGAGTTGAATTGCCCGATTTTATCTAGAGGAGTAAGGTTAACTCGTTCTGTTGCTACCCGATTAAATTATTTAGTTGATATTTGAACGAAAATGGACAACTGGAGCTATCGATTCAGAGCGCCGACTAAGAAGCCAAGAATTCACTGCAGGAATTTTGATAGCATTTATTTTTCCACTAAAGTGGCAGGATTGTTCATGGGGACGAGGTTTAGTCAGTGTTGCCTGACGATTACTACGAATCGTTTTGTCATTAGATTTGCCAATGTGTGCTGAATAATTTTTGGTCCATGGTTGTATGGTTGTTTATCCTTTTCCCTTTGCGGTCAGGCTTACAGTCAAGTCCGTAGTGCAAATTAATGGAGGTAGCTAGCATTCGCATTTCGTTAGTGGGAAGATAAAATTATCATTAGTCTGGAACGCTAATCAGATTAAAAATTTCATCTAGGATCTCAGAAAAGTGGTGCTGATTTGAAGATAACTTGCAAAAGCAAATGTGACAGTTCATTCTCTGATAGAATAGAGATTGTTCTGATTAAGCACACATTTTTTATATCAGTTGCTAACACCGTATCTAGTTCCTGGTACTTTATATCTAGTTCATGGTACTTTATGAGGTGGAGCATTTCAGAAAGACACACTCATTTGCGCCAATGCTTGGTCTACATACTATTTTAAGTGAACATCTTTTCCCCTTTAAATATTTGTCTGTTCAGTGACAACTGGTATAGTGTGCCCTTCTACTTTTAGCACTGATTCCACTTCGTTAGAGAGTTATGTGCGCTGGTAGTTATGCTCAAATCACTGGCCAAGTAACTTAGGATGTACTTTCGCTTGTGCCATTCAGAAAATTACAAGATATTGTTTGTTCAAAAAAAATTGTAGGATATTGTTAATAAATATGTTTGTTGATTTATGGATACGGTTGAGCTAGGTATTATTGTGGCGAGTTGATAAAACATGGGCGTATGGCTCTTTGTCAGTAATTACTGGACTAGAGTCCTGCTTCTGTGTTGGAAAAATTATATCATCGCCTCTTAACTGATGATATCCTTTGTGTGATTTATTTTTCTGATTTTGAAATGGACTTTGCGGGATATTTTCAAATTCCCTTAACGTGATAACTTCTTGATGCCTTTGGATTTATTCAGTGATTAACTTTTAACATGTTATCTTCAATACAGAGAGCAGTAAGAATCTAAGGAAGCCTAAGCCTTGGAAGCACACTCAGCCAATAACACCAGCGCAACTCAAACAGATGAGGGATGAATTCTGGGACACAGCTCCACACTATGGTGGACAGAAAGGTATTTAACCGTTTATACATAGTTGGTTGGAAGTTAATACCCTGTTTTAACTTCAGGAGGGTGGTTGGATTTGCAACGTTGCTCATGGTCTCTATATATTATGGTAACATTTCTATGCGGTTTTATTTTGATACTTCTGTCGCTATTCAGGTTGGCTACATCTTCTCAGTATATATACTTAAATTTCACTGTTCAAAATTATCGTGTCTTACATATTAAATTTTATTTCTCCAAGTAAAATTCTTTAGAGAGAAAAGTTCAGGACCTATTAACTAGATATAGTATTCTTAAAAGTTAATAATGATCCCTTGGCTCATCGGTACTAGTTAGCAGTACATGATTTTTAAGCCATATCAAATTTTATCTGTCTAAGTAAAATTATTCAGAGAGAAAAGTTCAGGACCTTTAACAAGATATACTAAGAATTTCATTCTTCAGAGTTGATAAAAAAATTAATTCTTCAGAGTTGATAATGACCCCTGTACTTATCGGTACAGGTTAGCAGTTCTAGTGTCACAGGGAGAAAATTACTAAAGCATATGAAATGGAAGAAAATACCTAAATAAAATGAAAGTACAATCCTAGTGTTACAGGGAGTCAGGTTTCATTTGTGTTCGGTCAATCTATTCTCGGTTCTGGTTTACTTCTGCTCAGTTCGTTTTTACAATAAGCAGCTAGTGATATAAAAGTGTTGTTTGAGCCGATGGTAGTACGGGTTACTGTCGGATGCTTTGAATTTTGAACACCATTCTTTAACAATGGCAAGACGGTTTTGCAAGTATGGCCTTGGTGACGAGTTGCCCGCTGTTTGTGCAGAGATTTGGGACGCACTCAGGGCCGCTACAGACGCCGACTTAACTCTTGCCCAGACCATAGTGGACAGTGCTGGAATCATCGTCTCGAATCCCGACCTCACGCTTTGTTACGACGAGAGAGGTGAGCCTGAGTTGCTGTTTTCTCTTTCGCAAGCTGCGCTATTATTGTTCAGCTGTCTTTTCGCACGAAACTAATTTCTGTGGGGACTGTCTGGATGCAGGTGCAAAGTACGAGCTGCCCAATTACGTTCTGAGTGAGCCGACAAACCTGATCCGTGATGGTTGATCAAATAAAAACTCGGCGTCGACATAAAACGGATGTGCACACGTTTGAGGAGAGTAGTATATAAAGCAGATCGATCCGTGTAAGTTATGTAAAATCGTTCATTTGTCACTGGTTCGGGGTCGTATTCATATCATATCGGTGGAATGGATCATAGAAGGGTCATTGGGTATCAACAGTTAGGCTGCTGGCTATTGCTATTTGCTAGGCCCTGTTGCCGGGCGTCTGTAGTCCTTGAGCTGTCTATATGTACCCCTTTCTTCTGTCCTGCTGAAGAGAGCTGCACCAGTGGTGTCACTGTGATTTTGACCTATGCGTTGCGCTTGCTGGTTGCTCTATAGCAATGATAATGGGGACAGAGTGCTTGATTGCTTCTTGATTTGTCCCTTTAAACTGGTCCAATGAAACTGTTCCAACACATATGTTTTTTTAAAGATCCAGCAAATTGCTGGCTTCAATTAGATTTATCAGAAAGTAGTGAAAGAAATAACATGAGGAGGATCCGAAGATCAAAGGAAAACGCAGCCCTATTAGCTGCAGAACAACACTACACTTACAAGACGGAACGTCATCCGCCCACCACGAGACAACGCAGCTCCGACAAGACACCAATGTTGTTGTAGTACTCAATATACTGTGCTTGTAAATCTCATCAGTTGATTGCTGAAAGGGGAGTTTTCGCCCTTGCGTTTAGCGCTTAGAAGGACAAGCTTCAGCGCGTATGGAGCGACCGACCGACGGGATCGGGATCGACATACGCAACGGCGGCAGGAAGCTGCCGAAGAAACTAGGCTGGGAGGATGAGATGATGAAGCAGACGCGGCATTATCGTCTGCATTGAGAAGAAATCGTGGTCGAGCCCAGCTACATGATTCTTACTAGAATAGCTGCAGCAAGCGAAGCATGGGTCGCTAATTGCGGATCTGAGATGTGATCGGCGATGGAAGCACTGCCGGTTCGAACTGGCCCGGCGCGGTTAACCGGCGGTCGGTCGGTACAAGGAGCAGAGGTTATTTTGTCACGAGCTGCAGGATCCGATCAGGAGGAGTGCTAGGCAAGCAGAAGCACGTAAATAAACAAGATCAAATACGCCATGAGCTCTCCACCGGCTCGCCTCGGGCTATGCGTTCCCATGCACAGTGCTGTCCGCTCGCTCTGTTGCCGCCGGTGTCGTGCCCTGTCCATGCGTGCGTTGGGGCCAACGAGGCCCGGGGGGGCGCGCGAAAAGGCACGGCACGGGACACGCACGCCAAATGCCGTGCCGCACACCGTTTCATGGTACGTACTGCTGTTATGTACAGTAACTTTCGCGTGCACAGATTCCCGGCTACGTTACGTACGCGGTCAATGGTGGCCGTTGTTTCTGTTCAGCCCAATATCAGGCCGCAGGATGCTCGTACCATGGTATATGCAGCTCGGGGTTAGGGCATAGCCTGTCATTTTGTCCGTAGATCGAATCTAGCTAGCTAGCCAGCCATCAGCCTTGGCTCATCGGTGCCAGCGGCTAGCGTAAGGAAGGAATTAGCCGAGTGCAGAGCCGGTAACCCTTCTTCTCGTACGTACTCTACGTCAGAGTTACTACGTACTGTACGTACCACGCACAGCTTGAGGTTGAGTGGTGCTCACGCGTTCGGCCTTCGTATATGCAGACATGCAGTAGCACGGCTGCTGTTGCTTTTGAGCCATGCGCACGCTTCGAAAGGGGTCCGTTGACTCCCACGTGGATCTCTCCTCTGCTGTCCGTTTCAAACTGCCGTTGGCGGGAGAAAGGGCACTGCCTTCCTAGGAGGCAGAACAGAAATGCCCGAGCAACTCGGTGAAAGCGTGCGTTTTTTCTTCTTCTTTTTCCCCGCAACGCTGCTGCGGGCGTGATTTTGATTTTGCTTCTCTTGCAGCGCAGACTTGCTCCGTGCAGATCACATGCGCCTATATATGCACCATTACAACTTACACAAGACGGCGTGTTCACGTGTTGCGACCGGCGTACGCGTAGGCATTACGTACGTCGTCGTTTCATGCTTGGAAAACCAGTCTCGTTCCGAGCTTTCGGTCGACGACGAGACACGTTCAGCGTAGCACCAAGACGCTAGCAAAGCAAAGCAAAGATCCAGCGATTATGAGTCCAATCAAAGGCTTGCTTGTCTCTCCGGGCGGGTGGGTCAAGCGATTTCGGCGCCTACTGGCCGTTGGAGCCCGCGTCGCCCCGCGACACGTGGGCTGCGTCCGTCCCTCCTGGTCCGGTCGCCATCTCCGAGCTCGCCAACCCAAATCATTTTGACATCCCAATGGTTGTAAGATACTAGTTGTCGGTAAATTTTGCCACATAGGATTTTTGATGATGTGTCATACAATAAATAAATAAAGAAAAGAAGATTAACCAACACTCATTGCACAAGCTTCAATATAGAATGAGAGAGCACCCCATTTATTATCTCACATTCTATTGGGCAAACTATTTATAATTCATTAAAATTATTGTATGTTAAGATGTTGATTGATAACATGGCATATTTTACCAACAAGCTAACATATAAACTATTGGAGATGTCCTAAAACGGCGGGCCACTTGGTCCCGGTCACCCAAAACAGTGCACCACGCGGAACATAGCGCGCTGGTTCCACACGCTCGTCGGTGCCCCGCCCTAGACGACTAGACGTAGACGGGGAACAGACATGTGGGCGGGATACGATACGACGAACGGATGTGGCGCTTCGTGTAGCCCGCACACACAGTGGTACGTGCACTGTGCGCGACGTGATGGTGGTAGGGGCAGCTAATCAAGCATTAGTTAAGTTGTGGAGTGTACTGATTAGTACGAGTACTACAAAGGCCCTGTTTGGTTCATAAGTCTTAGAACTTTTTCTAGTCCCAACTAAAAAGTCTCTAGTCCTTAAAAAATTCCTCCCTGTTTGTTTTCAGAGACTAAAAAGTCCCTAGTCCCTTTATAGAGGTTGTTAAATGACCGTGTTGCCCCTAGTATATAGAAAAATAACAATCAAACAACACCATGGGGTGGCGGGCCATTAAATGCATGGAGGGGCATTGTTGGAAAAGTACCAAAAAGTCCCAAAAAAGACTCTCCTTGAGAGTCTTCTTCATTTAGTCCCAAATGCCTAGTTTAGTCCCTAAAAAGTCCCTCCCGTTTGGTAAAAAAGTCTCTAAGAGGGACTTTTTCTAGTCCCTCCACAAAAAAGTCCCTGGAAACAAACACCCCCAAAGAGAGTGCAGCCAGCGTTGTCACCAAAGAACGTACTCTTTCTCTTGGAATGCAACATTTTGAAAAAACTCTTGGAATGGAAATACATCAGCTCTCGTACTAAGGCCAACTCCATCGCACGATCCCAAACGAACATCTGGTTTGGCCGGATTTTGTCTCTTTGAAGTAGCGATGGGTTCCCCCTTGTCCGCGTTTGTCCGCTGGGTCATAGATGCGTCCAACGTGCGGCCGCACCTCAAATCATGTCCGGATGGACGTGATTTAAAAAACAAAAAACTTAAATAAAATACCTAAAAAAGTAAATAAATGCACTTAAAAAAACATAAAACATATATCAAGGTCACGGCCACAAAACGGCCAGTTCCATAATCCACTTAAACGGCATAGTTCAATAATTAACATAAAAACAAAATAACAAACACCGCCCGCGCGCTCCTGTCGCGCCCGTCGATGCCGTGGCCGTCGCTGTCTTCACTGGCCGTCGGTGTCGTCGTCGTCGCTGATGAGGTCGACGTAGTCCGGCGGCGTCCACAGGTGGGCCGGCAGTCCGTGGTGCACGGGGCGGTGGGCTGGAAGGTGGCCGGTGCCTGCACCACCTCCTCCCGAGGCGAGGCGTCCCGCTCCGGCGTCCGCGGCGACGTGGGGCACCAGTTCACGTCCCCCACGGCGGTCGCCATCTACTCAACGGTGCACGATCAGCTCCACCCCTGGCCCACCAGGCCAGGGTGGAACGCGGCCACCGGCGGCTCCTCCACCACCTCCTCCTTCGACACCATCTCCACCTCGGGGACGGCGACGTCGCCGGCCGCGGAGAGGGCCGTCATCTCCCTGAGGCCCTCCCATTGGCGCTCGTCGTGCGTGTGCATGGAGTCCTCCAGCACACGCGTCATGAGTCGGGCCTCCTCCTCCGCTGTCATGCGAGGAAGTCGGGGTGGCGATGGAGATGGCGACGGCGATGGCGTGGGCATCAGGCCGCGCACCCGCGTACGCCCGCGCACCTGGGGAGCCGCTCGGGGCTCACGTGGCCGCGGCGGCCCCGTGGAAGTGTCGGCTAAGGACGCCCGCCGCATGTTGATACGTCCATTTTGTATCATGCTTTTGTATCGATATTTATCGCATTATGGACTGTTATTTCACTTTATATCACAATACTTATGGCTATTCTCTCTTATTTTACAAGGTTTACATAAAGAGGGAGAATGCCGGCAGCTGGAATTCTGGGCTGGAAAAGGAGCAAATATTAGAGGCCTATTCTGCGCAACTCCAAAAGTCCTGAAACTTCATGGGATATCTTAAAAGAAAATAAAGAAAAATTCTAGGGAAAGATGAAGGCCAGGGGGCCCACACCCTTCTCACGAGGGTGGGGGCGCCCCCCCCCTAGGGCGCGCCCCTACCTCATGGGCCCCCTGATGGCTCTCCGATGCCCATCTTCTCCTATATGAGGTTTTTCGACGAGAAAAAAATAGGGAGGAACTTTTCGGGACGAGACTCCGCCGCCACGAGGCGGAACCTTGGCGGATCCAATCTAGAGCTCCGACAGAGCTATTCTGCCGGGGATACTTCCCTCCCAGAGGGGGAAATCATCACCATTGTCATCACCAACGCTCCTCTCATCGGGAGAGGGCAATCTCCATCAACATCTTCACCAGCACCATCTCATCTCCAAACCCTAGTTCATCTCTTGTATCCAATTCTTGTCTCAAAGTCCGGGATTGGTGCTAGTAGGTTGCTAGTAGTGTTGATTACTCCTTGTAGTTGATGCTAGTTGGTTTTATTGGTGGAAGA